ATTCTGGAAAGACTGCCAGGCGACCAGAACATTCCCAGAATGAGAACATCTGCTGTCCTCTCCAGGGCCTGGGGACAGTCATCAGATCTCTGTTATTTTTCTGTACAAACTCCTTTTGTGCTTTATCCCAGACCATACAACCTCCCTCCCCAATTCCAGACTGCAGCCAGACTCTTGCCCTTTCTCCTCTGTATCTGCACATATGAATGCACATAGGAAGGTCTCAAGAGTGGATCATAATTTAGATGTTTTGCACTTTGCTTTCACCACTTGACTTCCTTTTATGTCTGCATAACTGATCTACCTCATTGTTCCAAGACCACATAAGATTCCATTGTTAGCATAACTTACTTAACCGTTTTCCTATTGAGGTCATTTGGTTTCTTTTTCTAACATTTTACTGTTGCAAAGCATGCTGCAGTGAGTATGGACATGGGTGTGTATCCTTTAAACCTGGTGCACATACTTCCAGCGTGTAATCACCAAGGTCAAAAGATAGATACATTAAAATTGTTGACAGGTATTACAAAAATGTGCTCCATTAAGTGGTTTATCACTGCTTTTCCACAATTTGTTAGACCATCTGGCCCCCATGATCCTTCTCATATCAAATATTCTCCTTTTTTACTATTCTCAAAACTCATTATTTTCCATTGTTTCAGTTTGTATCTATCTGTCTGTGATTACTAGTAAAGTCTGACATCTGCTTGTCTTTCTGTTAGTAATATTTATTTTTTTATGTGAATGACCTGTTTTGTAGATTTTTGATGACAGTGTGGAAGATGCAATGTAATGCCCCTCCCTGATTTCTGTTTGTTTATTTCCCAGTGTAATAGGTCTGTGATGTCCAGTAATTCTAGATTTATTCAAAAGAGCTGAGGTAATCAATATGCATAGTTCAAAAGGCAAAAGTAGTACAATGACGTTCCATGATATTCTGTGTTTAGTGTTTTTAGAATATTTCATGTCCTAAGAATATTTTTGGAACACATTAGAACAATGTATGATTCACATTTAACTTCTGGTTCTGCTTCTGGCTAACTGGGTGACTCTGGACTTTGTTTTTTTTTGCATCAAGTCTGGGATTTTGTTACTGTAGAATAGGATAATGACAGTTTGCCTAGTTGTGCTAATGAGATAAGGTGTCTGTAAATAGCCTTACCCAGAGCCATGGCACATAGCACAGTACTTTATAAATACCTGCTACTGCCATATTATTATAATATTGGAATTCTTCTAAACCAGGAATCCCCATGTCTCTCATCCCCTCAACTACTGTTTATAAAAGGAAGGGAGCCTACCCTGAGAGTAGGATGAGCTGCTATTAGTAGGATGAGGCCTACAAAAGAGCACTGACTGAGTTCCAGAGAAGGTGTCACACTTTCCCCCAAAGTTCACCATCAGAGTCTGATTAATCCACCCTCTCTCAAGAACTGACCATGGTACTGATGGAAATTCTTCCAGTTACAAGCAACAGACTTAGTGAGGAGGAGACTAAGTCATGAGGAAACTTCATTATCTTGGACCCCAAACAGCCAGGAGGTGGGACTGGTGGCTGTATTCAGGCAATTCTACAACATCTCCAGAACCCAGTTCATCCCATCTTTCAAGGCTGCAGCTTAGGCTTGCTGTGCTCTGACAACCTCAGGCCCCACTGAAAACTGCATCCAGGGGCAGACAAAAGTAGTTCTCCTCACGTGTCCCTTTTCATGAGTGAAGAAATGTTTCTTGCCAGTCCCTTGGCAGCTTACATTTAACAGTATATTGAATCAGCACTTACCCTCTGCCAAAAAATTCAGTGGTTAGACAATGAAATGACACTGATTTGGGCTGTCATGGGAAAGAGAAAAGCTGGGCCATTCTGAAGTACATGCCCTCTAGCAGCTGACGAGCAGATCAACCATTAGGAGGAAAGATGGAACTGGCCCTTGCCTTTCAACAGTGAAGGATGATCACGTGTATTTGTTAGGGAACATAAGGAACAAGTTTTGTTTGTGTGTTTGGGGGCTTCTCTATTGGTGCTTGAGGTTACTCCTGGGTTAGTGCTTGAGTAAGTGCCTGGCAGTGCTCATGGGCCATGTGCTGCCCGGAGGAACGAGAATCCAGTGTTCAAAGCATGTGCTTACCCTTTTGAGTTCTCTCCCTGGCTCCAGCAAGGGCATTTTAGAGTTCAATTTGAAATTAACATGCAGATCTTTTAATTCTATAAAATAGCGACTTGGAAGTTTTTAACCTGGAAACTTTCACTCAAAAGAAAGAACAGAGATGGCTCCTGTTACTTTTGAAGCTAAGAATCTTCTGAGTAAATAACCGGGTTCTGGTTGGGTTTTTTTTTCTTTTTTGCTATCAATTTGGTTGCCACATACAGAAGTGCTCAGGGCTCACTCCTAGCAGTGCCTGGGTGAGCATATGTGGTGCCAGGGATTGAACTAAGGTCTGTCACATGCAAGGCAAGTGCTCTGACCCGTGTACTATCTCCCCAGATCTGATAGTCTAGTTTTTAAAGGAATGGGATTTGCAGAATGAGCATCCAGAATTACAGCTCAAGCATTGGGCATGAGTGAGATTCGCAAGGCCATATTGCTGTCTTCGAGGGAAAGACAGCAGGGTCCCACTTGGCTGAGTTGGGGAGACACAGAGGCCTCTGACAGAGCCCTGGACCCAAGGTCTGATGTGCCTCATACATAAAAACATTTCTATGTGCCTCACACATAAAATTGAGGAGTTGATGGGTGCATGGGAAGCATGGTCCAGGAAAGGAGTTCACCAGGATATCTTTTCAAGTTGCCCAGATTCCTTGGAGAACTGTCTTGTGGTGCTCTCTCGCCTTGCCCGGCAAAACTTGCTCAAACTCCAGAGGAGAGATTTCCAATCAAACAGAACCGGTTCCCTAAGCAGGGCAAAGGTTCATACTGAAAAGGGGATCCCTGAGAGTGGGTAATCAACCATAAAGGCATCAGGTCTTGACTCCTTCAGCTCTAAGATGCTTTCTTGGTGGGGTGGGGGGTGGGAAAGCTCCCAAGTGGTGCTCAGGAGGCTTCAGAGCTCCTCCCAGAGGTTCTCAGCTAACTGGGCTTATGTTCAGTGCAGTGAGAATGTGGTGCTGTTCAGCTCCTATGGTGCCAGGGATTACCCAGGCTATCCCTGCAGTGCTGGGAGACTCCAGGGCCTCAGCTAGAAGTGCTATGAGTGTCCAGGTTGTCCTGGAAATCCAACCAGGGTCTCCGATGAAAGACACGTGCCTTATATATCTGGACTCTCCTTGGTGCCTAGGTGCTTTTGACTCATTTCCAGGAAAGTAAATAAATGGGGACCGACTTTCTAGAATTAGTAATCTCTCTTCCCGCTTGAGTCTTCCATAGCACTGGTCAGAAATTAAGAAGGAGAGGCAAAAGCTGGTCTAACTAAGCACCAGGGTGGCGTGCCTGAGGCCAGACCATAGGGACAGGCAGCCTGGAATACTTTGCCCGTGTGTGTTTGGGACAGGTGGGGAATGGGGTTATGGGTGCTGTAGGGAGCTTCAATTGGGTGTTGGGGGGAAGCCACACCCTCACTCTCCATTATCTCAGGCCGTTTCTATGAGAATCTCAAGGAGTGGGCAGAGCAGGGTTAAAACGGCCACCTCTCAGAGACAGAACTGACTCCAGGAGTCTCTCTGGAAACTGCAGCCTTGGGTCTCCAAAACCCACAGGCTGTACCTTTCCATGTGTCTTATTGCTTTGGGTGCTTGATGGGGCAGTACCAAATCTTCACTCGGAATCTCCCTTCAAAGCTTGTTTACTGTTATAATTTGGAGAACCAGTTAGCAAGCAGTTATCGCTAACTGTTGCAAGAAGGAAGATGAGAGTTAATGTTAGTGAATCACAAGGAATAAAGAAGTTTTTCTCAGAAAACATGCTTTTAGGACTCCACCAACTTGCACATCCGATGGCTTTAAAAGACTGTGGAGTCGGGGTTTGCTTTTGGTTATTCCACATGCTGAGGAGTTTGGAGAAGCTCTTACTTGCCTACTCCTTAGTTTTTGAATCTGTAAAATGGGAAGAGTGACTCAGAACAGTTGTCAGGGCTGTATCAGTAACTCTTCTCCACAGAATTACAGCCCACAGGAGAGGGGTCTTAGGGTAAGGAGCCTCTTTACATGGACTTGCCCCACTGTCCTTTGCTTCACTCTGCAAAAGAACATAAACTTTATCTGTCATCTAAACTGAATTACTGATTCAGCTCAGCCAGAGCAGAGCGAAAATCTCCCAAACTCAGTGTTATCCTCAGGGTCACAAACAGATGTCCCCAGGCTCTGTCCTTTACAGCTGTATAACTTTGGGCAAGGGCTTCAACCTCATTGACTGCAGCTCCTCTGTCAGCTGCAATATAAATATGAGAGTACAGGATTGTTGGGGAGATGAAGGTCATGTAGACTGTGTGTAGAAAACAACGTTAGCACAATGGATGGCATAAGGCAAGCATGTCCTACATGATAGCAATCATTATTGTTGGCTCATTGACAGATGCCAGCTTGGCTTATTTTTAATAGACTAAAATTCTTAATATTGAGGAAATATTCTCAATGATTCCCTCACTCTTCAACCTGACCCTATGCCCTATAAACTATGCAAATTAGTCAAAATTTTGTAATAAAGAGGATCAAAAGAGGTGTGCAGGGGCTGGAGAGATAGTGCTTACCTTCCATGCACCTAACACAGGTTCAATTCCCAGCATCCAATATGGTCCCCCTGAGCATAGGCAGGAGTACCTCCTGAGTGCAGAGCTAGGAGTATCCCATGAGCATCGCAGAGAATGACCCAAAAACTAGGAGGGAAAAAGGAAAGGGTTGCAGTCAGGATCTACCTCTCCCCTCTCCCCATGAGGGAAGGCTGATCTGACCCTCAAGTGACTTCCAAACCATCCCAGTGCTCAGTCCCAGCCACTAGCTAATTAACTGCTCAGAGACAATCGGAGACTCTTAAACGAGCCTCCATTGAATGTGTCTTCCTTCCTCACAGGCTGTGAAGCGCTTTTTGAAGCAGGAGTGCAAGTGCCATGGTGTGAGCGGCTCCTGCACTTTGAGGACGTGCTGGCTGGCCATGGCCGACTTCAGAAAAACAGGCGATTATCTCTGGAGGAAGTACAACGGGGCCATCCAGGTCGTCATGGACCAGGATGGCACCGGCTTCACTGTGGCTAACAAGCGCTTTAAGAAGCCCACGAAAAATGACCTTGTGTACTTTGAGAATTCTCCTGACTACTGTATCCGGGACCGAGATGCAGGTAAGTCCAGAACATGCAGAGCTTGGCAGCCCACCCTTTCAGCGCTGAAAGCTTTAGAATTTAAATCATCTGTGTGTCACCCACCCGACCCCACCCTACTCTTCAGCCTATTAGTTTTACCTGCTGCTTTTCCATTCAAAATTCACATTCTTGAATTCCATCTTAAGAGGACACAAGAGGGCTTTCATAGGCAACAGGATAAGTGAGTTGATAATGTCTAGATTCTGGAGGAAAAAAATGGTATCCCAGCAAGAATCATGTGGTGTAAAAGTCAAACTCTGCATATTAGAAATTCTTTTTTTGTTTTTTTGGAGGGTGGAGATGGGGAGCACACCCAGTGATGCTTGGAAGTTACTCCTAGCTCTGCACTCAGGAATTACTCCTGACAGAGCTTGGAGAACCATATAGGATGTCAGGAATTGAACTTGGGTGAGATAAGCACCCTATCTGCTGTGCTATATCTGTAGCCCCTTATCAGAATGATCTTTTCTTGGCTTGGGTTTTTTATTTGTTTGTTAGTTTGTTTTGGTATGGGGGTGTGGGAGCTATACCTAGTGGTGCTCAGAGTCTATTCCTGGCTCTGTGCCCAGGTATGACCCCTGACATGCTCAAGGGACCATATGTGTTCATGGGAGTCACGCCTGGATTGCACAGGTGTCTTAATATTTGTGCTATATCTCTGGCTGCAAAAAAAAGTTTTATGCTGGGGCAAAACACCAGTAGATTAAACATACAGTCGGATGACCAGCCCAGCATCTTTCCTGTGCGCTGAGGCTGAGAGGATAACTTTGCTTTGTACCTTCACTCATCACACACCTGACCTACGTGGCTATAGAAGTGGGTCTCAGGGCTTTAAAGTTAACCTGTTCTGAAACCTACTTTCTTGCTCTTTGCGGGTATGCACAGAAATTACCAAATGCTAGAAAGCCAGGACTCATCCTCCCTGGGGTGGCTCCAAAGGCACCAGGGGAGGGCTGTTGTCAGAAGCACTTCATTTATCAAGGCCACTTCCTGCCCTTTGCAGCTTGCACCTTCTCCCTCTTGAAGTCCCTCACGCAGCAGCTTGCACTCAGCTGCCCCTGCCTGCCTGCAGGGAACAAGCACTCTTCTTCATCTCTGGGGCTCCCTGATCAGCAGGCCACTCCAAGTATCAGACGGTCTTTGCAAAGACTCAGGGACAAAACAGGAATGAGTTTGTCAGAGGGGATAGGGAGTCTACAGTCTATTGAGGCACAAGCCAGATTCCCAGACCTCCTATCAAGTAAAGGAATTTATTATCAGGAATAAGCATCTTAGACTTTACGTTTGAAGCTTGTTTTATTATTATTATTATTATTACTACTACTACCAAATAATTGTAAAGACAACCATCAAACAGAGAAACTGGCAGCCAGCCCTTAACCTCAGGTCGGCCAAGCGGCACAGTTACCAGGGAAAGTCACAAGAAGTCCAAGGCTTTTTCTTTGTCCCCGCTTCCCGGTTTGATGAGCTAGTTTTCCGCAGCAGGGGGGCAGGTTCATACATGCAGCTGATGGATTAATAGCTACTGAGTGAAAGGGCCAGATTCTGTGCCCTACTACATTCCTGACATGCTTTGGGACCTCTAACAAGTCATCCTACCTGTCAGGCCAAAGTTTCAGCCAAATCACCATGAAACTTGTGCTTGGAGACAGGATCGGCGCAGAGGTGCAGCTGCACCTCTGCTGTTAGCCAGTCGTTCAGCCCAAGCCTCCTCAGTGACCCAGACATGGGGATAAATGATATCAGGATCAGTTTTAACAACTCTGTCTGGACTTCTGGTACCCAGTACTGGACTAAGATTATCACACACATGGTCTTAGTTCATCCCGAGAGCCGCCCTATGACATCAATGCCTTAAAAGTGGTTATTGAGAAAAAAATAAGAAAAGGGTGGCTCCTGGTTGATCCACACCAACTATATTTGTATCTTCTTCTCTGAAGTAAGATAAGCAGCCCTAGCTGTCATCATCCAACTTGCATAGCTGAGCAAAGGAATGGCAGGCTCAACATCTCACTGGTGTTGGGTGTGTGGAGGAGGTAGATAACTGACCCTGTGGCCAGTACTTTTGACCCTTCACTTGCCTTTCCTTAGCTTGAGGGCATATGTAGAAAAAAGATCTTGTGAGACCTAATTTCAAAAGTTCCAAGATCCGCTTCCCCTAGACATCTTTCCTAATTTTTCAATTTGAAGTATTTTGCAGAAGTGAGGCAAATAGTTAAGGTCAAGGAACACTTAACTGCCTCATGGATATTCCAAGAAATAACGTTGTTCCCACCTTCCTTCCTTTGTTGTTCCCTTCTTGTCCCGACCAAGGAGATTCTGAATATTATTCCTGATGCCTTCATGGAAATCTCACTTCCTCTTGCCCATTTGGCTAGTTTTCCTTCTCCCTGTTGTGGAATACAATTCTGTTTGGTTTTGTTGTTTGTTTTATGTGTTTGTTTGGTTGATTTGGGGGTCACACCTGGTTGTGTTCAGGGCTTACTCCTGACTCTGCTCAGGGATTACTCCTGGTGGGCTCAGAGTACCATATGGGTGTTGGGATTGAAGCCAAGTGCTATACCTGCTGCACCATCTCTCCAGTCCCATTCTGTTTCTTGATCCTAAAACATCAGACACTCTGGCAGTTAGATGCATTGTTCGGATGTAACTGACTTCCTCTCAGTGCATCCCCCGGGAAACCCCTAGAGTGGGCATGTCACTTATGCCCTTTTTTTGAGGGGGGGGTCACACCCGGCGATGTACAGGGGTTACTCCTGGCTCTGTACTCAGGAATTACTCCTGACGGTGCTCGGGGGACCATATGGGATACCGGGAATCGAACCCGGGTCAGCTGTGTGCAAGGCAAATGCCATACCCATTGTGCTATTGCTCCAGCCTCTACTTTTGCCTTTGATGGGAGAAAGGGCTGAAGCTCAGACAGAGCATGGAGTCTGTCCAAGGATTCTTGGTTGCTAAGAGACAAGCAGGGACTTGAATCTGAAGCCCCTTTGCCCCAACTGCATCAGCCATGAAGCCCAAAATCTTTAGCTGCAGGCATTATAAGGGAAGCTACATCATTTATTCACTATTTGTTTTTATTCTATTTTAAGTTCAGTTAGGCTTATTTGTCTTTTTTTTTTCTTTTTGGGTCACATCTGGCAATGCACAGGGGTTACTCCTGGCTTTGCTCTCTGGAATTACTCCTGGCAGTGCTCGACGGACCATATAGGATGCTGGGAATCGAACCTGGGTTGGCTGTGTGCAAGGCAAATGCCCTATCCACTGTACTGTTATACTATTGCACTAGTCCCTAGGCTTATTTTCCTTAAGAAAATGTAAATTTGATTCAAAGACAAACTTATCCTCATTCTCTCTCTCTCTCTCTCTCTCTCTCTCTCTCTCTCTCTCTCTCTCTCTCTCTCTCTCTCTCCCCTCCCCCTCCCAGGGGTGGAAGTGTAGGGCCTGGGAATCATGCCAAGTTAAGAACTCAGGCCTGACTCTGCAGTGCTGGTGCTAGGCACTGCTGTCCTCATCATTTTCTGTTAGAGACTTCTGTAGCATGTAGTATGTACTCTAACATGTCTGTCAAAATATAGAGCTGTGTGTGCATTATCAGGTTAGTAGCTCCTAATGTTTGTTCACAGAGACAGGAAGAGATGACAGAATCTGAGCCTGTGAAAGGGGAAGCTTCTTGCATTAACTTACTTGCACCCTGCTCTGAGTCCTGTTCTCTCATCCTTGACAAAGGTGGCAGCTCCGTGCTGACACCCTTTCCCCATATGCATGTTGTTAGTGTCCTACATGCAGTTCCACAGGAGCCCGTCATGAAGGGACTCTTCCTAGGCATTATGCTCCTGGGAAGCTCCTGTTTGCTGCTTAGTAGAATGCTTGAATGAGTGTGCTGACTGTCACGTGGATTTCAACATAAAAATAAGTCAGAAGTCTGCAGTCCAGTTTAATCCAAATAATGGTTTTTTCCCCCCCTTTTCTTTGATTAAAACTGACACTAATTTTTCCTGTTCTGCTTTGTTGTCGCCACTCACTCCACCCCCTTCCTGTCCCTTTATTGCTTCTGTCACCATGACGGGGCTGGCGCACTGGTTGGAAGAATTCAGTGGGGATCACACACGCTCTATTATGGGTGGGGATCCTGGGAGGTAGTGCAGGGATCACGTTCAGCCTTCAGGGGCAGTGCCCAGGTTAGAACTACAGGCCTCAGGCCTCCACCAGCATTGCCATTCCTGGAGCCCCTGTCAATGGCTTTTTTTTTTCAATGTTATGTAAAAGAATTATGGGACATTTTCAACTTGCCCACACTAACAAAGCAATGATCTGAACATTGTCAAGGTAGAGAGATATGTGGACGTGACAAATGTCTCCTGCTTCTCAGCCCCAGTCTCCTGTTCAGATGAGCTCATTTGACTAAAGTCAGTGGCTTATTGTGACCATGGGGTTTGTATTGTGGAGAAGTTCTATAGCTCTGCCCTCCCGTTGATCGTCGATTTGCTCGAGCGGGCCCAGTAACGTCTCCATTGGAGACTTTTGTTGTTACTGTGTCTGGCATATCGAATACTCTCGGTAGCTTGCCGGGCTCTCTGAGAGGGGCGGAGGAATCGAACTCGGGTCGGCCATGTTGGCCGCTTGTAAGGCGAACACCCTACCCACTGTGCTATCGCTCCAGCCTATAGCTCTAGTCCACTGTTTTTTCCAAACTAAGGTCACTTCAGAGACCGATTGAATCAGAATCTCAGGAGACTGTTCCTATGATTCTGTAACTTGTCGACTTAAACACATTGAAACTTGAAAAATAGGTGATTTAGCAGACCTCATTCCTAAAATTCCATTCAGTATTTAGTAAATCTTATATAAATCAAAATATATATATAAATCAAAAACCCCAGAGAGACTTTTACTTATTGTTTCTAGCTTCATTTTCTTTTATTTTTCCTAGCTTCATTTTCTTACAAAAGTTTTCTGTATTTGAGTCTCCTTAAACA